ATGTGCAAAAAAATATAGAATGAAGATGCGTCTAGGTTATACCTAGTCAATGTATTGAAATGATCGAGCATATATTAGAGGTAACAGTTTCAATAGGTATTGTGTTAATGTTGTAAGGTATGTTTCAGAAAATTTCAACGAAAAAGCCGGAGTGTGTTGTATGCGCAGACGATCGGTTAAATTTCTTTCCGCGTTAGTCGATTGAGAAAGTTGGAGGCTGTAGCGATTTCAGCTTCGGCTTCATATGTTATACTGGCTTAGACTAGATCGTGATAGGTCGCTGAAGTACTGCAAAAGCTGCCCCGAGCCAGATAATAGAGTTGCTGTAAACAACGATGTCTAAGCATGGTTTAGGTCGGACTACGGCGGCGGATAGGTCAACTGCGGAGCCCGGCTTACGTAAGGCATCTTAGCAGACATCTTATCTCTCGTTTAAGAGAGATAGCTAGATTTCTAGTTAGAAACGAATGGCAAATATTGCTCTTGTTTTATTGATAATTCTTTGTAAAATCAAATTATTCGTTACTCTGACGTCGACCTGTGGGGCATTGATTATCTCTTGCTTGCTAACAATTATTGGTTTAGTTGTTTCATCTCGTAGACATATACAATAGAATAACAGTGATATAGTCGCTATCGTTTGCTTAGCTGTCATCGCCGAGATAACAATGCTGAATCTATCTGGCCTTTAAGCAGAGTGGCGTAGTTGAACAGATATAACTTTTATGGAATACGGCTGTCGGTTGCGATGCCGCCATTTGGAGAGATATGTAGGCAAGTAAGCAGGCAGATAGAGATTGTTTGACGTCTCTTGGCGCAGCGCCTATTGGTACTACAGTGCTCATAATGGCTAAGTTTACCGTCGATCTTCTATCTGCTATTGGGAGAGAGGGAAGCAAGGGGTGGTCATCTTCAAACAAATCCGAACTTCTTCCCTCGATATTTTTCTCGTTCGCTTTTGTTTCGTTCGATATCATGTGTGTACATAACGAGCTCTTGGTGGCCGCGTGCCGGCGTCTGTCGTTTCATACTCTTCAACAGAAAACAAATAGAAGATAAATTTATTGACCTGTCGTCTGCCTACCGCTGTCTTCGTTTCGTTATTCCCCTGTGTATAGGTGATTTCATGTTAGACAATCTCAGGACGACAGATTAGCTCAGAGTGCGCTATCTGTCGATCTCACTTTTCCTCTTTTTCATTAATGTTACTTTTTTCGGTAGCCGGATTAATTTCCCTTACAAGTGAACATTAGATTGTGTCAAATTGCTCCCTGATGACAGAAGTCATCCTCTTACAGCTAACGTGTTTCATATTTGCTAGCTTGCAGATAACTTGAAGTTCGGCTATTGACAATTATCTAGGCTAAAGAAAGATGCCCTACGGAATATTGCTAGGTGCCAACGGCGCAGATGTAGTGGTCGTGCCGTTGTGTAAACACCCGGAGTTCGATCGCATCAAAACAATGGGAACGGATCAGTGAGCGACAGCGTCAGGTAAAAACTGAGACAGGCAGTTAGTCAGTGAGAAGCAATTTGTGTGTAGATCCTCTATTCGTGCGAGATTGCGAAAAAGATAGCGTAGAACCAGTCGCACGTACGAGAAAGGAGCAGCACGCTAGTCATGCCATCCAGACCTCGTTTACGGACGCGTGCTATACCTATGTAAAATGGCCCAGTACGTAAAACATCTCAGGGTAGATGTATTGGTTTAGATAGGGCTCAATGTGATAGAGTCATGAACAGCACAACTACGGCCATCTATGCTGCATGCAGGAATGACAAACAGAAGAAAGCGGAGGTGAAAAGTCGATCGATCAGGCGACGACTAGTGGATAGGGAGGGAGAAAAAGCTCGGAACGAAAAAGTTAGGGAGAGGTAGATAAAGATAGAGAAAAGACAACGAAAAAAAGGAAGAGGTTCGACGGGTAAGATAGCGCGAGGGCGGGACATACATAAACACACACTCACCATATACATAGACACGAACAGGGAGAACGGACACAGAAACATAAAGTACACACACAGTTCTATGATTGGTGTTCGATACGAAAGCAACCCAGCTAAAGTGACGGACGTGCGAATCGACAAATGCTGCGCACCAATTTTCTGTTGAGCTACATAGACGCTTTAACTAAATGAAACCGGCAAGACAAACAACCACTTTTCATAGTAATTGCTCTTTATACTGAGACTATTTCGGTAGCCAACTATTGTTACGGCGAATGAGTTAACAGAAACGCGCAAAACGGACTGTCCTGCGGCGTGCAATGCGGTTTGCAATGCCTACGCCTATCACTACACGCGCATTGGATACATGTGATAGGGAAAACGTCTTCAGCAAATTGTCAAATCTATAGTCCTTGCCACGATGCCTTGCGTGGTTAGAGATGGTCGCGGCGAAGACCGATTTGCAACCGTAGCTCAGCCGCTGGCGATGAAGACGTATGGGAGAAAGCGAAATTAGCACTTTATACTAGTCGAATGTCTGCGGTGGTCTGACACTTGGATTTCAGGCTATTCACGACGACTACATTATCGGTACCGATATCCGGAAGAGTCGGGTGTTGTTTCAGGTTCAGTAACAACAACAGCAGCAGCAGCAGCAGCAGCAGCAGCAGCGTGGAAAGGGCAGTACGCTGCGGGTTATAACCGTTACAAGCCATTAAAGAAGGGCGTGTGCTTCTCTATGCCTGACGACGTCAACCGTGACGATTTGGGTGGATGGGCTTGACTGAAGTGGACAAGCTCTCCTGAGCCGAGAGTAACGGGCTAAAGGCCAAGTGTTGTGCTTTAGCCAGCTGAAACACGCGCTTGTCTGAACTGAGAAGCAAATAGTTCGTATTCATGACCGCGTGGTACCGCCAAGTGCAATTTCTTCTCGCTGTCGTTATGATCTTCAGTTTCGTTGCTACCGTTGCAGTGGCAGCGGGAGTCTGCAGTGAAGAGGCTCATTGACTAGAAGGTAAGTTTTCTTACGGCCAGGTGGCCTCAATGTGTTGCTGCCGCGGCGTGGCGTTCGCTATGTGCCTTTTTGTTTCTGCGGGCCCTTTGTCCCCCTTTTGCGTGTTGCTTGTTGCGTTCGGTCTCTTAAAGCAGGACTCAAGTTGAGGGCCTGTTGACTAGAGTACTTCGTTAATTGGTTATCATCGCGTGCATGTTGTTGCCAGTAACAAAAAAGGTGATTGCTAAAAATCGGCCTCGTCGGCATCCACTGGCAGTGTTGATGTTAAGCACCAAGCGGAGTGGCCACCACCATGTGAAGGGTCCTTCAGGCGCCGGTTGTTTGGCAGACCATCTGGGCAGGAACATTAGCCAGGCTGACGGAGGACCAAGGGCGGAGGGTGCTGGTGGATGGACAATCACGATTGCGATCTTACTCAACTCATTAACGCTACTTACAATTACAGCTGTTGCTGAGATGCTCTTGCGCACGTGAGTGCAGCGCGGGGTAGCTTTGCTGTTGTCGGAAGTACAACGTAGAGTGACAATGTAAGTGCTACTTTCATGTTACATCAACTTAAGTGCAGCCAAGTATAGCGGACAGAGGGAGAGATGAATGCTCAGTGAGTGAGTAAGTGCACAATGATCTCAGAGGATTATGGCAACAACTCCGGCAGCAATATAAACAAACAGGGACTATCACTATTACGATGATGGTACACTAACAACAACACGTAAAAAACGTAAGCAGTCTGACTTGAATGGTTTATGCTTGTGTAATTGGAGTTTTTTTTTACGATTTTCATGGTTACAGGCGTACATTTAATAAAGAAATATTCATCACAGAAAAAAATTAATTTCGTTGTATATTTGCGTGCTATTTTAAGGCCTTCACGTGCTGTTGATATGACTGATTTAATAACCTAGTTGCGTGACTATCCCAAGAACCTGCCCATATTTTCTGGTTTAAGCTATATTAAAAGACAAAATCTGAGAGAAAAGGTTGGTATGAACAAATAAACATAAGACACGTACGTTTCATCCGAGAAAATCTACGGATTGTTTATACCAAGGGAATTATCGTATAAGAAGTTAGCTTGTTTATATGAATTCGCCGGCAACGCTGATGATGCCGCCTAACCCACATTACACTTACTAGGCGAGCGAATCAGTGCCTTGTTCCCAAAACAACGCATTCAGCGTACAGAAATACAATGGGAAACGTTGGCTCGCTTAGCCAGTTTGGTTGCGTCCTCTATTCTGTGATTAAAAAACAGTGATTTTCGAGACTGTCACAACTTTGTCTGATCGCACTCGTCATGTCTAATGGTATGATATTATCATCGAATCCATCATTTAACCACTTTAAATCGCAGACTTTTCAACTCGAACCGACGTCCTAATCGTTCGAGCGGTTTCTTTCTCGGCCTTCGATTAGTTTCTGAATGTCTAGAAAGACTCAATAAACCCGCATCGCTTTCTTCGTTGTAGGTCTGGAAAAAATTGAGAATCTTCATCGTGATCTTTCAAATAAGGTCTGCAAACTGCATAACTGCATAGCGATTAAATCGATTTATTTCCGCTTGACGTAAGGGTAAGCACCTATATATGGTTCCTGGTGTTAGTACTCCTATATTAGATAATATTGTCACTCGCCTGTTTCTACTTGCTGTATACACGCGAGTTTTACAAGAATAAGTTTTCTCAGCAATAACTAGACACACCATTGCCTTTTGTACATTCATTTACGTGTTTCCCATATTTCAAAAAAAAAAAAAAAAATCAAAAATTGTTTCCAACTCATGAGTGGAATATGTCTATTAGACATATGTTGTATATTTGTCTCTACTGGTTCGTTACTTTTAGGATAACTATTTTTGTTTGCTTCTGTTGCATACAGACGGGAAAAGCTAATACTTATTGTGATTGCACCAGAACCGTCTAATACGTTTTCCTTGGAGAAACGTAGCTTTCCTCGACAGCTGTTGCCGATTATTGACGTATACTAATATAAACTTATCGATCTACTGAGACTTGCGTAATCAGTGCAAAGAAATTTTGTGAGGAATTTTTTTTTTATCTACTAGAGTTACTCCCCTACACAGCGCTGGCACTCTAGCGCCTTTAGACAGCCATGTGCTTAGCATTTGTGTGTTCATATGTAATCTCTATCTATGGCTTTTCGAAGTAAATTGATGGCAGACATGGAGTTTCTTTCATGGAGGACTCTGTGACCACACGGACTTAGATCTGGAAAGTAAGCTTGTTGAACCTAATGTTGAGTATTCCTTCGCTCAGTCCGGGCAATGATATTTAGCGAAGTAATCGACTAAATAGGCTGCGTGGCTTCCGTGCGTGCCCTGCTAACGATCCACAAGTCTTTTGAGGTAGCGGAATATATTAATTGCTTGATCTTCGGCAGATGTAGCAGGTGTCCCTGATGTTTAGTTTAAGTGCTACCATTACCTCACGCATGAACCTATTCGACACTGGCGCCGAACTCGATTTGTTTTTCGAAACGATGCCATGATATCTGATGGCTAACTGTAAAGACTGGATCGTACCTCGTCTAGGTGAGTCTATACGGTTCAGGCAGGTGTTTCGTTGTATCAGGGTTTCGCAAATGCACGTACAATGTAGCAGACGAATTTTTAGCTGATTTAACGTTCGTTCACGGGAATTCTCTTTTAGTTTACGAATTTTCAGTGTCTGGGTTATGAATCTGTGGTACGTTTCGTGTGAAATACCAGTTTTTCGTTGTGGCGATACCTTCCTGTCGACATTCCAGTTTCCATTCTTAGAATGGCGAGTTGCGTCGTCTAAAAGCGTGTAGCTTAGAAGCTGTTTAGCTTCAAGATCCGTTGGATTCGCTGGTAACACTCTAATAAAACAAATTTCTCCGGTATTGCCACTAGCGAAAACGAATGGTATTCATTACATATTACACAATGCATTTTAAAGACGTAAAGCTTTGAGAAAAAAGAATATTCGGCGGGCCTTTTTCTCTGAGAATCCCGGCCTCGTGTTTATTTAAGGAGTATCTGTGGCATCCCTGGACATTTAATGCTATTACCAGCACAAGCTATGCCGATCTCAAAAAAGTTACGGGAGACCTAATCCCTATATTTCTATTCTATCAATGTAGACTAGCATTGACACACGTTACATTTCTTATGATTGTTATGTTATCCATTGTCTGGTATGGGATCTAACTGTCATTCACTTCCATAGCTTCCATTTTTAGCTAGAGCTCCGCAGCAGCAGTTGGTTAAAGTATAGCTATTCCTATATTTCCCCATATACGCCTTGACCAAATTCAATGGACGAAAAAAAAACGAATTAATTACAAATGCTATTTAATGTATGTCGATGGTACAGCCTAAACTAGTGACCCCGAGCTTAACAACTAAGAAATTTTTGGAGGAGTATAAAACAGTGCCATTGTCTGTGTAATCCCTACCATGAATTATAATGAATAATACATAATGAAATTAGATTCCATTTGGGTTCTTAAGCGACGTGGTGACTGGAGATGGTGTAGCGCTCATTCGTAACTCTGCATACGGTGTTCCCGTCGAGCAAATTTTCGATAATTTTCCTTTCTGTACAAGACGTTCCTGGGATACGATCGTTTTGTGATCGATAGAATAGAATACGCTTCGTTAATAGCTATCCCGTCGTTGGTGTTGGGAGTACAACATTACATGGCAAAATTTTTAGTCGTCACTGTCCCAGGTTGCGTGGGTATACCCTATACAGCGTTTCAGGTGGCCATACGTGAGACAGCCGAGACTTAGTAAGTGGTTTTCACTCACGGAAGGATATGAAAAGATATGTCTATTGAAAATAGAAACAATTCGACCTATAACTGTATAGGTCGAATAGTATAAGTCCGTTTTGTCGTCCGATTTCGACACTTTGAAGATTGTCTTGCTCGTAACAAGCTGGTTTGTATAAGGTCAGCGATACCGCCGTTAATAATATACGAACACTCGGTCGCTTTGATTCAGACAATTTTTCTATCGCATTTGCCTTCATAAAATAGTTTTTTTTTGCTGAGGACTGTATATTATTTCAGCGCTAGACATAAATATTCCTATAAACGGAATGTTCTACGCACTTGCCAAATTATCATCATTATGTACTTGTTGTTATCCACTGGTGATTAAAAAGGTTATCATTCAAAATTCCCCCCTAATTCACCAGTAGCGTTACCATGCCTATCCCGTTAGGAGCGCGTTAAAATGGAATTCTATCTTTGGTAGACATTACATTTTAGGATAGCATGCCCGCACCCGCTTAATTTTTTGCCTTCAACGGTTTGACGAATTTAGCCTTGGTAATATGGTGGTGCGTGAGTAATGAGGCAGGATTGGTCGTTTGCCTTTGGCCGAGCAGTCCGCTTCCAAGGACTCTCCAACTCGAATCCAGTCACTAAAATAGCGATGCTATAAATCGTCGGGTATCATTTTCCCTAGCTATTGGGTAGTCTAGGCTCCTTTTTTGATTGGCCGACGTTGCCCGCTGCTAAGCATCGATTGGCCTAAAATCGATCCCCCTGCTGGCCGTGTGGTCTTTTCCACGCGCGCTGGCGCCTTTATTATTGGTCCTGGCCTATAGCTGGATGATGACAATGATGGCCGCGAAGGAAGCATGTTGCAGAAAACTAGCCTCGTTCGTCCGTCCGTCCGCCCGCTCGTAGTGTTAGTACCTCGATCTCATTGTTGATGCAAACATGGCCGAACGTTGGTTGGCGACCGGCCATCCGTTGCCGCTGCTGCATCAGAGCCATTTGAATGTGGTCAACGCCGATGAGGAAAGGCGGGAAAAGATCAACGTAGCAACATTTTCACTAAGTAAACTGATGGCAGAGTTGAGCGCCGTGAGAGTGCGGAGGAATGATCAAGTAGTCAGGGAAAAAGGAGGGTGTAACTGCTTTTGTTGCTGCTGCTCCTTTACAGGAGCAGCAGCCACAGCACCAGAATCTCGCAGCCGTTGTATTGGCCATTGGTAGCAGCCGCTGCATTTCGAGTGGGTACTTGAGATTTGTCGGTATAGAAGCAACAGCACATCCTGACTTGGCGGGTCGCGTCTGCTCAACGTTCTCGTCTCGTCGCTCGCTAGACCGTCACTTATGCGTTCTACTAGCGTCCGCAAGGTTCATTGCCGGTTGAGCAACTGTAACTTGTTTCAGAAGCAACAGCAGTAGCAGTTGGCGACGTCGCCAGCCGTAACAGCGTACGAATGGTGTTCGTCAGTCTCCAAGACACTGCAGCCAATCTGCCTGCGCGGCATGGAAGATTTGTCCTTTAGCAACAGGGACGAGCAAAGGCGGCTGGCCAGCGGAAATGGTCGTCAAGAAGTGGCAGGCAGGCAGGCAGACAGACAGACGGACAAATAGATACATACGAAGAAGGACAGTCAATAGCGGCTATCAATATACTATGTAAATACCCCAACTGTCTGTAGGCTTGCTAACTGTTAATGCAAAGGACTATGACGACGTCGATGATAGTAATGAAGGTAATAACAAGAATATACCATTGCTGTTGTAATTTTTGTTTTGCTGCTGTGATGATTATTCCTCTTCTCAAAATCATTTAATCCCTCGTAATCTTCGTTGCCCGATAAAGCGCGTGTCTACGCGAGCGATAACACGGATTCGAGACCGTGTTTCTGTCATTCGAATAATTTACATGTGTGCAACTTGGGACTTATTTATAATTTCCTAATGCAGAGCTGCAGATTCTTCACGCTACTCATGGTTTACCATAGCAACATAACTCGATGCAAGCGCAAACGCGGCAGTCCCATTGCAGCGGGAAAAAAACAGGCAAGTCGCAAAAGAGGAACTGTCCCAACTAGAAATAAATGATTACAGAAAAGTCCACTCAAGAGCGTATTGCCCTGCATTCGTGCACTCTAGCCAGTCGGCCTTATCAGATCATGCATTACTGGAGCTGTACCTAACAACAGCTTTATTTTTTTTGAAAGTCCACGTGGCAAGCAGCATCGGCAATCGACATTACGAAGAACGCTCATTCGTGCTCAGTTCTGGCTGTGCCTCTGTATGTAAGCAGTACAGATTCCGTGAAGATAACGACAATTATTCGGCGGTAAAAAAAAGTAGCCACTCGGTTCTTCTTACCTGTGCACTCACCCTCGTCGACCTGCTCCTCTCTCTATGCTTCTTAACTTTCTATGGGTGGTCTTGAAATACCTTAAACGATATGAAAACCGAACGCGAAACGACTTCTTCAAGTGTCCAACGGTAAGTGAATCTATCGTCTACTGAGTTCCCCATCAGTTTCCCGCCGTTTTTCCCCAATGCTCAATCAATCACGGCACTATCCTGCATTGGCACCATCAGCAATCCCTGCGGCGCAACCCATACCAGTCTCAACTCTGAGTACGTAAAGGGTCTTTGCTGGCTGTCTTCCTTCCTACCTTCCCGCCGGTCTGTCCACCTGTCTGTTTGCCTGCCGAAATCGCAAAGACCACTGAGTAATGCCAACAGAGCGCACCTGTGTTACGTCAGGCTTCAGATTATTTAGCGTTGGCTAAAGCTAAACGGATATTTCCAGCTGGATCGTACACGCCGCCACTGGAGTTGTGCTGGAGGATGTTCGCATGTGGGTACCTCTTTCTTGAAGTGGATACAATAACATGGAGTGGTCGTTAAAGCAAAGAAGTGGAATTCGTGTCTATGTTACTGTGCCTTACTGCTAAGTAAGTGCCCCCTGAGGGCTTAGGCCCACACACTTCTGGAATCAAGCACCTTATCCGTCATCAGCTGTAACCGTAGCTATAGCCACTTCTTCCGTAGGACCACGGTCGCATACACGTTGCGCTCGAAGCTAGAGAATTTATGAACGCGTAGATTGTTACAATCGATGGGTGGTACCCTCCAGACTTTTGAGAAGAACGAATGGTCTTCTCGATTTTTGAGAGTACCTCTTTGCCTATTCAGTGCTCTTCTTAACTGCAACGCTAGTGTAACAATGGAACTATTTCGATTGCTACTAGAACCATCATTAATAGCAATAGGCTACGATACGGAACTCCGTTCTGACACTCAACATTTATTTACTTACATCAAGACGTGCTTAGCATCCACTAAGAAATTCAATGGCTGATCTGCTTTCTTGTAGATATTTTCACTATAATCATCATTGTTGTTGATTACTGCAAGATGTCGGTCTTTAGTTAACCGATTAAATTGAAAACTTCCACAATACTAACAGTAAGATTATGTCGACTTGGTTCTGTCGCATAGTGATCATCGTACCAACCTGCAGAGAATGTCAGAGAATATTTTGATCCTTTTAAAACGCGTCGATCGAGACACCCAGAGCAAATGTGTTCACATGTCGAAACGAATATATATATATCTCGCTGTAGATATTCCGCGAAATCAATCATATAGCACTTATCAACATCAGACATCGCCACAAGTTGCAATAGCAGGCGTTGTTATATTGACGCTGTTGGCGTTCGATGCTGGTGGAGCAAACAGAGATATCGCCCCCGGTTTCACCCTGGTTCATTCTCTGTCAGTATGAGAGAAACGGAAGCCTGAGACAAGCTCGACTACATCTGGTACGTGATGTCGTTGGATGCCAAATGCCCGTCTGTTCCTCTTGTCCCCCCCATAAAGTCTGCGTTTCTAATTTGCCTCTACACACGCCAATGTATAGATGGAAAGTGGCTGGGTGGGTGTGGGGTGTATGCCCGGCAGTAGCGGCTACGACAATATTAACAACAACAACAACAACAAAGGCAGACTTTCGTCGCGAATGCATTCCTTTCCTTTTGCCTTTATGGGATCACCATTGCAAACGGCCGCCGTTGTTATAATTAGCAACCATTGAAGATATTGCTTGGAATCGTTTCACGCGTTTGTTTGTATGCAACTATTTCTGGCATTCTCTACTGCAGTCTCTTTTCGAGCCCAGTGACACGAAATCTAATAATAATGCTTTATTTATGAACCGATCGAAAGGTCTTAGTTATTTGTGAAATTTGCTGGCAGTGGAGATACGATGTGTTCTTAGCGCATAGCCATACAGAGGAAATAGGTATACAGGAAGTTGCGACGACACTCGAGATTTCTGTTCACGAAGAATGTCTGTTTATCTTCATAGAGTGTGTCAGTGAACAAGTGTTCCGCATCGGCGCCGGCTTCGTCGCCATTATCGCTCCGCGCCATGTTTACGCCCTCAGCGTCGTTCAATGTCAAGGATCTTTTGTCATACCCTATGGAGGCTGCTGATCCGTTGAGCGGTGCCTCGTTGCCACATGGCTTGCCTCCGTACCAAAGCTGCTATACACCTGGAACTCATTCACCGCCTGGCCAAACCCATGCACCGCAGACGTGGATTCCACAGACGCAATTCGGCTGGTCAACAGAATACAAGTAAGTGAATCCCATTTCGGACACATATACTTCGCATGGCAATCTTTTTGTTTTTGTATAAACAACGAAACTTACTAAACCAATATTCACTTGACGACAATAAGCATTACAAATGATTGAGGTGTTGATAAAGAAAACCTTGCTTTGAGGATGTTCAATAAGGCGTAGGACTTAACGTTTTGCCTACTTAAATACTTTGCCTAAATAACAGCCGCCAATGTTCGTCGACTCGACTCAGTCGTACACGTACATGAAAGTTTTCGTCAATAACACGTGCATAACCCAGTGTCAATATCGCCGAAATAATCTTAATAGCGCATTTTCCTTAATTTTAGTTTGTGTACCATATGGTTGCTGGGTTTGTTTTTTCCGTTTTTCCTTTTCTTTTATCGGCAGTGATCGTAAAGAATTTTTTTGCGTATTCACTCGATTCAGAATCAATTGTTTAAGATGTCAAAGAGAACACAAGTATATTGTGTGTTTATAACGTACCTTTTCTGCGTATTTATGTATATATGGTCATAGAGTGATGAAAATAAGGTTTATTTTTCATAATAATATAATTTTTCATATAATAATAATAATAAATAATCCTCAAAATTTTTGATGGATCTTGTTTTGAATTCTAAATTTTCTAAATGTGATTAAGAACAATATATAAAAAGAACCAACTGACTTTTTTATTCTGTAATCTTTTTTATCCTACTCCAGGGGGTACACGCATCCTATAGAAGATCCGTTAACGGGCCACGAGCTTCCTCTGGAGCGTTTAGAGGCGTCGTCGCATGAGGAACTTGGCCAAGGGATCAAGGACGAAGTAGAAGATGATAGTCAGCAGCATCGCAGTAAGTTTTATCAACTTAAATCAATGCTGTATCGAATTGCTAGATACAACGTTGATTCTTGCAACTCAACGTTAAGTCGTTTCAAACTAATAAATACGAACTAGATATTTGCCAAATGGGGAATCAGCAGGCAATTCATTGTGATAATAACCATAATTAATAATAAGAAAAAATAATCATAAAAAATTGTGACAATATATATTAGTTAGAAGACCCAGTATAAGCGGAGATAGTTCTTGTTAAAGTTATCCGTGTATTGATCGTTGAGCCCGAACATTTTTTTTTTTAATTCTTTCTCATTTTTTCATTCCGAACATTTCTTTCAGAAACGAAGCGAAAACCGCGTATTTTGTTCACACAAGCACAAGTGCATCAACTGGAACAGCGTTTTAAACAACAGAAATATTTGACGGCACAGGAGCGCGAGCTTCTGGCACAAGCTCTAAAACTGACATCAACCCAGGTGAAGATATGGTTTCAGAATAGACGTTACAAAAGTAAAAAACAACGTGAAAGTCAACAGATTGCTTCAGGAAGACAACAGTTCCCTCGCAAGGTACGTCTGTAGCACTTTAACGCGACTTCTCATTGGGCAGATGACAAAAGGAGATTCGGTGTCACAGGTGTAGCTACTTAATATAAATAATATGGACATCTTAATATAATTAAGATGTCCATAGACTTTCAGCTCTACATAATATTATGAGGCATCGAAAAAATAGGGGCTAACTGATTGTAAGTCAAAAATATGTCAATATACGAAGCACCTGCAGACTAAGCCACCTAAGCGTTCAAGCGCTCACGCCGATTTACCAAAATTGCTAGTATATGGTAAGCTGAGTATGAAAAAAAAAAAAGAAGTAAATCCTCGTGTGCAATGGAAAAACAGTAATGTGATATATGAATTGGATTGATAGTTTTTTGGTTATCGTATTTACGAAGTTATCCTACTACATTTGGTACGTATATAGGACAAGGATTAATCATACTAAAGGCTGTCCTAGTAGAGCACTCAGCTTGAACAAAAGATGCAAGGCATTACAAATATTTTAATTAAGTAAATAAGTAATTGATAATATGGTACTTAATTTTCGTCGAAGCTTGTGGGAGCAATATTTACTACATCTTGTGTTCCTCCAGATACGCAGTTACTACGTTACATCTTTAACTTTATTTGTAGTTAGGCATCGATTGTTTTTGATTCTCAGGTGACAATTCCTGTTTTGGTCCGGGACGGTCGACCGGCTTCTCCTGGCGGCCCCATACAAGATTACGGATATCCCGAACTATCATCAACCGTGATACTTCCGCCACCTTCATGTCATCCCGACGGGATGATCTTTGGAGTAGGTGTGGCGCATCCTCACCCTGGACCAACCGGAGACCCACGATGGGGAGCACCACAGCCGTCCAGCTCGCAGAGGCCCCCGCCACCTCCACCAATGTTTCAGCAGGATCCAGCTGGTTATGCGACGCCGGTCAGCGCTCATTTTATGGCTGGGCCGCCAACTGGTCTCGAACCTCATCCGCTTGCTCCACCTCCACCGCCGGTACCACCGCAAAATAACGCTTCTTTATGAGTGGCCAATTAGCCAGTCTTTTCAACTCAAGTTTGTCAACATAACTACTGTGGGCGGATAAAAACTTCCAAGTTGGGTTTACAAAAACACTTGAACGGAGGCACGCTACGACATGAGAGTTTATAGTTATAGGTCCACCCTTTCTAATTGCAAGTTTTTTTTCCCTGCAATCCATTCCTTGTACATTGAAGATGTTCCCATTTAATAGAATGAATATACCATGCTAAACGACTATTTATACGACTGAATGAAAATCGTATCTATTATTATTACTGCACATATTTAGGCGCGTTGTACTTAGATTACGATTGTAGGGGAAAAAGGATCATAATATGTTAATAAGCGACTGGTGTGGGTTACAAGGAGAGCATTTATACTATATGGCTCATGTATATTCAGCTCCATGCTGAAACTAAAGGCTGAAATTAAAATAGTGCATATGTTTTTTTGTATCATAAAACAGTAGTGTAGATTACATTTGTCAGTCCAAGCAAGGTTAGTAACTGGTAATTCGTGCCTTCAGGACGCGAAGGTAATATTAAAAAGGGCAACACGCACATTTAATTTTGGCATTGACGGACGAATAGGATTCATTCAAAGACCGTCGCGCCATCGAGCTATTGTAATATGCCTAATTACTGTTATGAATGATTTACCTATTTTAATCTTGGGCACTTTGTTTAAACTATTATTAAATTTATTATAAAAACACCATCGCCATTTCTACATAGAAGTGAAACAAACGTTAAAGCATCAAATCTCAAACATCCACCATTGAAACAACATAACATCAGACAAAACACGCACGCAACTAGGCCTACATCTATATATATATATGGAAGTATTAGATGGTGGAAAATGTCTACATGTGCATTTTGGACTTCGGTACGTACGTATTAATACTCAGCACGCTGATTCACCGCATTGAAATGCCTACACTAGTAAGGCGTATATTACGTTTATTGTACCTTTTAGACTTTGTCGAACAAAGTGTATCCACCATAAAGATGAAGTTCCTAGACTGACGTTCCTTTTTACGTACAGCTTACCAAAGAGCGTTGTAAAAATAACCAGCTGCAAACTTTTAAATAGCACGTATTTTATCAACGGTTGCATAATGCATACCGGAAAACCGTGGGACCGTCGGTTACAATATTATATTTGTGAGATTCTAAGAAAACTGTATGCAATACTATGCTATTAAGTGAAAGCTTTCTTAAAATAAAGCCATACAAATTGGTCGTTTTTTTTTTTTAAATTAAGCTGCTATATTGAACGTTTTACCCGCTGATACGGATATCAATTTACTTGAAGGACCCTTTTCCCCACCTAATTCTAGGGCCTCCTAATTTCTAAAGAGGATGCTTATTTTTTTTGAGTTAGTTTGTACACGAACAGACATGTACATATGCGACGCATGTAATATTAATTTCCTAATCAGTATAGTCGGCTTCGGTGAGTGGTATTACTGTTTATTGCTGGAGGGAAAATCCATTTATTAATATAGTACCTTGTTTACACATATTCTTCTGTACTATTATCGCATTGAAATAGTGTACAGTGTACATACAATGAAATAATAATACGCATCCCAGATCTCACTACCATGAAACAAATATACGTTCATTTAACTAAAGTGGAATCATAATATATAAAGTAGCTTTTTTCTTTCAAATAAAGTGGAACTATTAGTAAGTACGTGACTGTTCATTTTAGTATCTCCCGATCACTGTTGAACTTTTGAAGGTGAAGATCATGCTTCCAGAATTCACGGAATATCTCGGCCTAAATTAAGGATTAGGTTTTTATTGTCTGATATTTTAGGAGTTGTTACCATCAGCGAGTAGGGGTTTGCATTGTAGACGCTATATCTAAAAACAGACAACTTTAGCCGACAAAATTTTCTATGACGGGGCTGAAAGGTATCCCTTGCACGCGCATTTGCAATACCAACAGGCTTTACGAAAGCTGCAATACCGAATCAAATTCAGTTCCATATAGGAGTGAGGATAAAGATAAGTGAGGTCTGTTCTATGGACGTGCGGCTTACGACGCAAAAGACGAATAGGGCGTTACAAGCTGATCTTAAGTCAACTCGGCTCTATTCAATGGTTATGAGCCGACGAGTACAATGGTTCTATAGGAAAAAGCGTTGCGAAGACTGAACATTTTTTGTTAGATTGAAAAAATCTAAAGGTAACTACTGGCCAAGTGAGAAGGTTGCATGAATCTCTACCCCACGACATAAAGCAAAAGCTATTCAAAGTTGTTCCTTTTTTTCTCTGATAATAAAAAAAAAAAAAGAAGAAAAGAGCTTCTTTGAGCCGTTTATGACAATACCAAAAGATCTTACTAATGGGTAAATGTCAATGATCACCCAAACCATTTGCCCAAAGCGGAACGTTTTATGACCAATGAGTGAAGGGCGATACAGCTATACTTTATCATTATAGCATACTAAGCCTTTTCGTATGCCAAATCGCTTAAGATCGATTGCGAAAAAACTTATATTTGGTTTCTGAGAAAAAAAAAACATAGTGCAAAACGTATCACTATTATCGAACTGCTCAGCTCATTAGAGCTGACTTGTTCGCATGACAATGGCTGTATTATTTAATTATGCTGTTCGCAAAATATATACCCAGAGCAGATTGGAATGAGGATTCTAGCCGAATAGGTATAATTTAGAGACCAGCGAGATGAATAAACAAAAAGGCGTACTCACTCTCGCTCTCGAAATAAACACATATCGATGCACTTAGATGAACATAGATAAATAACAATGTATCTATCGTTAGCTATGTATTTTCATATAGGCTGACATTCGACTTGCCATCGGGTCAGGTATCAACGATACTGAGAAAAAGCTCTTCTACATTGAATAGGGAAACACGTCGCCAGAAATTTCTATTATTTGGTTGACCATACAAAATAAACCCCGTGGAATATTCGGTATCAAGTCAGACAATCTGCTATTTTTAGGTTAACAAAAGTTTTTTTTTCTTAGAACAAAAGCAATCAACTTAGAATGACAGAGACAGAACGATGCTTCGATGAACCCACATTTTCGTTTGAAACGGTAAACTCGAAGACGCCGGTCTTTACACGATCTTTAAGGGTTCCGAAACACAAGAATTCAAGATAAGGATCAGATTGACAAAGCCTAAAATTAATCAAAAAAAAAAGGCATTAAAAACTATTTCCGATGATCCCGGAATGTTTGAGCTAATATTAGGGACAAGATCATGTATCGCCTACAGAAGAAATTACAAACGTTGTTTTACTTGGTGCGGCATTTTTGAGCGGGATCCAAATGAGTCTAAACGAACTCAATGGTTCTATTATCGGTTACTGCCAAAGTCCCCCCGCCCTAATGCTTTTATGCAGTCGGAGTCTTCGATTGAAACTGTAAACGATGTAAATGTTAGTTGGAAAAAAAAGAAAGGACATTTATCAGTAACGTCTCTATGTGCATACGAAGAAAACGTTATCGAAATGTTATCTCTTCTTATTTGAATGCGGCCCCGTTTATTCCGAGCACCCTGTGCTCGTGACGTGACAATAACGAGAAACAACAATAGTTGGCCGTTGCTGGTTGCGACACAAAAATATGAAACAGATAAATTGTGCCATATATGCATTATAAACAAAAGCGTACGCTTGAATCAGTACGTACAATGTGGTACGTTGCGTGAAGGCGATCATGAATTGTATTGCTTAACGGTCAGTATAACGTGCATACGTTAGGTGCACGTATTTTATCATGATCCCGCCGAGCAGTGGGGAAAGGAGTGAAAATGCACACTATTCGATACACGCTCACTCAAAAGCGATCTGCATAAATTATATAAAAACTAGGCTAAGCAAAGGAGCGTGCACAGCAACAGAAGAGGTCGATCGATTTGTCAAATGTGATAGATTTAGAATTTTCGCTTATAAACGGATGAATGAAGCAGAGTCGATTATGGATCTGTATGAACGAGCATCTCTAGGATTGTCCTATTTGTCTGTGTGTTTACGTACCCTCTTTTAGAATATTCAATTGACCTTTATATTACATCTTATCTTCTATATCGCTTGGCTTGAAAAACAATTTATTATTGACTCATTGAATTATACAGCCATCGAGCTGATGCCTTCATCGGTGCGAACGAGAACGGCGACTATCGACGAGCACCGAACGAAATCACGCACCAGGTACCAGAGAGAATAAGAAACGTAAAGCACAAGTATATCGTAGAACCACTGAAATAACTGATCGCACAATAATATTAAGGGCATGCGTAAGTAAGCGTATGATAGATGTACACGTGGGGCTGCGAACAATTCGGATTTCTGATTCAGGAAATGCTGTGGAACGCTCTATCAGAAATTAGAAATAGGTATGTCAGAGCGTGAGACATAAATTTCTTAGCTGAACAATAACGCTTAATGATAACACTATGTAGCGTCATGAATTGGCATTCTACCGTTCACATCATTACCTTCCTACAAATGCTCATCAATTGAAGACGTATTCGAATTCATTTGATCCAGTTGCAAAGGAACGACAGGCGAAGGAACCTTTATTTCTACTACCCAGAAAGGACGTGCGTCGACCCGGCGAGTGAGGGAACGAATCATCACGAGAGGTTCAGGACACCTTAGCGCTGTACAGAGTATTTAGACAATTGTTTTAAGCTAACTAGAATTCCATGTACAGAACGCACCGATGGACAGTTCGAGGTCCTACAACGATTGCAATAGGAATATGTATGTAGAGATTGTCCAGATCTCAGAAAACGATCGTGTGTGTGTTAAAGCTCGTATAATCGTAACCGCGCTACCGATATAATGGCGTCTCGCATGTTGAAAGTGAGCAGACGTAGTACTACACATCACTACTAGGACAAGTTACATTTACTGGCGCAAATTAACGTCGAGGCAGAAAATCCATCATTGCGTTTATTTTCCTTTCCGATATGCCAGGTAGTGTCCGAAATGGAGCGCTGTAATTCGAATTGTCTGAACAATACGAACGCAAAGGCGCCACGGGACAAAACGCAACGACCGCAACAACAGCCGACGTGAGGTCGTTACCACCAAACGTACGAATTATCTAGGAGTACACAAAACATAGAACAAAACTGCTGTGAAGCATCAGCAATTACTGGAAGAGAAAATTGCTTCTTATCCTACTATAACCGATATAATTAAGGAGCAATAATTATAATTATTATTAGTATTGAACGGTGTGACGCGCAAGGGACGCGTCACAGTTTTCGATCTTATAGATAATTAATCTGTCAAAATGATTACGCTCTAACCGCACCTAAATCAAACAATAAATAGACAGGGAAGCGAAATCGATTTATAAATAGGTTTGATAAAAGATCTATTTGAATTGATTGTTTTGTCATTTCTAGACGCTGTATATATGGGTATAATTGTTCAGAACAACAATACAATGAGCAGTGATATACAACAGCACTATATATACGAATATAATCAGATCATCAGAAGATTGCTTGTACGGTCTATTTTAGCGTCAAACGACCTGGACCCTAGGCTAGGAAGCAGCCGATCAGGGCACCTCGCTATTACACACTCTATATGTATGGGCCTTTTTTTCTATTAAGTTCTGGACTATGCTTTTCTAGATAGGCACATAGGCCGTTTTTACTAATAAGTTAAAACGAGCGTGATACCTGCTATAGGTGGTAACCTCGTTGTTTTTGGAGGGTCTTTCCTGCTTCGACTTGTGAATAGGTGGCAAGGCAGCAACAAAGGTTCGAATGATAGAAGGGCGAATAACGCAACGTGAACGTGTAGATTTTGCGCCAGGGCAAGGTTAGCTAACGTTTAGAGGAACTGAAGAAAATGATGGTACATCAGTCGAAGTGAACCCGATGAAAATCGTTTGGGCTGGTTCACTCAGTCGAATGCGAGCATGCAGATACGGCCTCGTTAATGGCTGCGCTTTCGAAGCGTACACGTGCATTTCAAGCTATCGTCTGCTTGTCACGTAAAACAATCACAATCATTGCCATGCGCCGACCTGCTAATTACACGTATGCCGACTCGAGAAGAGGACTTCATCACGTACAACCATCGCTACTGGTAACAAATCATTCACGCGCCAAATTTTCTAACAACCGGCCCATTCGACCCAATATGTCACTTAATTATCACTTGACGAGATTCCTGGACTAAACGATCATTCAGCTAACTGCGGATCGACAAACAGATGGCCTAATCACGTTTATGCAGTGATGTAATTGTTGGCCAAAATACGCCGTGGAGGTCGCGGCCTTATTGTAAGGCTCAAGTTTTGTTTTCATGTCGCTCCAGCGTGCGTGCAGCATTATTGCTCACGATTGCATACGTAAGATCGTCTGCTACATCTAAAAACGTTTAGATATAATGATAACACAATATCTAGATACGGCTAAGAGCCGTCCTACAATACACAATGTTTGCCTCAAAAACCACCACTATTTCATTGTAACTTGTTATCGTTTCCTATGTTCTTTTAATAAACAGGGCCTGTAGATATGAAATTTTACCCATTAAATGGTTTTGTTGCTAAGTCTACTAAATTTCCGATCTTTACGCTACATCCTAGTAGTACACCATGTCTGACGCCAGTATCTGTATGCTAATATGAACTGACCTTAGAGGCGTTATTTGTCGAAGAGCACTACGAAGGTACACCTTACCATACATCGTTACCATTCTGCTCGGTTAACGTGTTGCTGGGCGTCCCAGTCCTATGGTCTACTATACAATACCGGCATAAAGTTCGTTTCTCTTTAGCCGGACTTGTCAGTGTTCCTGTTTCGTCGCTCGGACTAAGAAGGACACCAGTAGCAACCGGCTAATATCTATTCCTGATCCGAATGGCTGCGGTACCATGTCGAATTTGTCTCAGGTAATGAGTACCGTTGTAGACCCTTCTTGGACTTCAATTCACTTCACTGAGCTACTTGACTTCAAAGTGGTCTCGAGTAGTTCAGTGACGCACTTTCCAAATACGAAACGAATCTCGTTGAAACGCAGCGTATTATTACAAGCAGCTTTTCTCTACCCAACAAGCGACTGCAACGATCGACGAAACTGCAATGCTGGCACAGAACAGAACAGCGAACTCTTACTACATACCGTCATGATCGAGTAAAATGTGTTACTCTCATAGGCACCTACTAGTCTAGTAGGCTTAGTGGGCCTGATTGTTGTTGGCCTGAGTTGGATACAGGGACGGTAGGGGGCGCGGACCTCACACCTACTGCCGACTTCATCGTCGTGAGGTTTGACTTCGTTCCGCCGAGGTGCTGAAGATTTGGATGTCTTTGATTGGTGAAGGCGCGCCTGCTTTCCTTGTCAGCTTGGAATTGCAGCAGGCAGCAAGCGAGCGAGCGACCGACCGACCTATAAAGTGTGACCAATCTTCAATCAGGACTTCACATTGTCGCTTGTGAAGACCGCGGCGGCAGCAGCAGCACCAGCAGCAAGGACGGCAACTCGCCGACACGATCTCTTAATTTCGTCATTCAGGCTGTCATTCTTTCCGCTAATTCTCTGCATTTCCGCGCGGCCGACAATGGCCTGTTACACATTCACCTCCGGCGGGCCACCCGCCCGCGCTCCGTCCAGCTCACTCGTTAGTTGTAAGTGTGAAGGTGAGTGGCCAGATCTACTCTAGATCTTTCTGTGAGGTCTCAATTCGCTGAACTTCAAAAGAAGAGAACGAAAGACACCGCGTCCTCGTGTTCGGAGACCATCAATAACGTCGTCACTTCATCTGGTGCTCCCGTCTCGTATCGTCTCGTCTCACCTTAGAGGCAGAGGTGTGAGCGGAGGCGCGATTGCGAAACCCAAATAACATCGAGAAATGCGACAAGAGCCTATCAAGGGAAGAGAACGAGGGGTTAGTCAGAAACAACTGGGGACGACGCCAGCTCTTGAGCTACAGAGAGCTAGTGCCTCGACTCGAGTTACATGTCTTACGATAGGCCTCCGCAACTCACTGCAACCAAGTCAGCGTCAGTTTAGGGGAATAACACGCAGAAGGCGAGCTTTTTACGGAGGTTTTCAGACACTTTTTGCACACGGAAGACTGACTGGTTAACTGATACGCGATTATATAAGCTATTGAGACGCTTTTCGGGGGGCTTCTATTTTCTGTCGCTCTCTTAGAGGGTCCGTCTATTTCCGTGCTTTTCGTCAACATTACCTTCTTGGTAGTGTTCGCGCCACGATCATCTAATTGCCATCAGCGTCGCTATTATTATTATTATTATTATCACGTAGACGCTAAAGCTGCTACTCTCCATCTATCTTATACATCGAAGTTTCATTCGCAAAGCTTCTTTCGCGTGACACTGACGACAGCTATCCGGCTTCAGTTGAAAGACCCGACTGGTCATAGTATCAACCGAGGAGCAGTTACGGCTTAAAGCGACACCGTAGTCTAATACCGAGTTATTACGTTAAAATTACGAGCTGCAAAGGGCTAATTCCGTCATTGGCAGAGACGGCTGCTCCCGCCGCTGCAGAGAGGGATTTGATGTGATTCGTCGATTCGATCGCCCGCCTACACGTTACTATGCCCCTTAAGACAACTACAAATTTGTGACGTGGCCTTCATCAGTGGCTTTAACGATACACATCAGCCAGTCGACACAGACAACGCGCTTACAAAGCAAAGTGAGGCTATTTTTTTTGCCGTGGGTGCCGCAGCTGCGAATGTTGTACGGACGGTGATATTTGTTCAATTGGAACTGTTCTCTGTGGCGCAGGTGTCCACCTACAGACATCTATGTATCAGATCTTAAATAATGTACATTTGTCGATAAATATTGGATTATCGAAAAACCATTGGTCCTTTCTCTAGTTATATCGCTTCAGAGTCATAAATCTCAGGCAATAGGAGCCACGTCGGGTTGGCGTTAGCCTCATTCGAAGGCTGAGATTTGTTCAGACCGTTGGAATGGCCGTATTCAGACCTATCAAGAAATAGTGTCTTGAAGATGGGTAAATTTTCTGCAAAAATTTGTTACAGTTTACAACTTTATTACCCGACACATAAATATATGCCGTTTATGGTCAAGCTGTACCATGAAAAGAAAGGGGCCAAAAATGGCTTTGTCATAAATTTCGTTCTGGAAATTTTGACGTGAAAAATGCTCCTCGTAACGGTCAACCAATTATGGAAACAGTTGACGAAATTATCGGGAAAATCGGGTGAGACCGCCACGCGAGTAGCCATCACTCTGGCAACGAACCGAACGTCTACCGGCAGACGGTTCTCAATCAGTTGGAAGAAAGCTGGCTATAAAAAAAGCTCGATGTTTAGGTACCACGCGAATCGATGCAAAAAAAAAAAAGAATTTATTCGATCATAATTTCATCCGCATGACTGTACAGAAACAAAATGGAGCTAGCTCTAAGGTTGTTAATGAAGGTGGCTATCTGTTCAACACGCGATTGGCGGAATTCAGGTGAAGTCGTGCATGTGAGTTACGACTGCCTGACAAAACGATCAATGCAGACCTCTGCTGTGAATAACTAACATTGGAAAACGACGACTAAAACTAGGGAACAGAGAAAGCGTCGTCCTTCGCCCAGACAGTGCCAGACCAGGCACATAGCTAGTTTCTCAATTGAGGGAACTTAAACGGGACCTTTTGAGGTACCCATCTGGACCTTGCATTATCAAATGGTATGAAGACTCCTTCAGTGGTGTTAGCTTTGTTTCTAACAAGGAAAGACAAAAATCTAGTTTGTCTCCTAGAAACCACGGGAGTGGTGGGATTCTGGTGCTGCCAGAAAAATGGCAAAGAGTCACCGATTCCAACGGCGCATATTTAGTTTATTACGATAAATTTAAAAAATATTGTCTTTAATTTTAACTTAAAAACGGACAACAACCCAGCATAATGGTGCAAGGCATATCATTAGGATCCCATGCAATCGCGAACATAATCGGAGAGCTCTTAGTTAGCATTAGCCGTAGACTTGGTAATTATATACATTTTTTTTAAAAACACTTCATAGTACCTACCATAGAACCAGTAGTCCTTAATAAGCATCAGAGATTATGCTGAACCAAAAACACTGTTGCTGCAATAATGGCTTCTCCAGTATATATATATATATATATATATATATATATACATATAAGCGATAGTCGAGTGAGGCAAAGATTCGATCACAACATTGCTATGCTATTTATTGACGAGGAAAGCAGGTACGGTAAAGACTCGTCGTATGACGACACTCGCTTGAGGATTATTAGGTTAGAAGGGCGTAACCGTTTGCACAAACAGGATAAGCGTGTATCTTATTCAGTTTGGTTTCTAATAGTTCAAACATAGATCCAGTCGGGGAAGCTGTATATTTCATAGGATGGGGAAAAGGAGTTTGCATAAACTATCTAACCATCTTGAACACCGCCGCTCCCACATAAGTGGTGCGAGGCTTCATCCAGCATAGCTAGGTTGTTGATGTCTATCAACTTCCTTAGTGCATTCGCATGAGCACCCGTTTTACGTTGAAGTTCAGCACCGGATGGCTTCTCGTCGCAGGTGTTTCTTCCATAAATCCACGGCAAGGAAAAAGAAACTCGTTTCTGGTTCGACTCACAAAGGTACAATTGACCGACACGGTTGACGAGTAGCTGGTAACATCCTCACACAGTCCACATGCAGGTACCTATATACTATATTTGAGAAGGTTCCGTTAGACCACAAAGCACTATGATCTATTTCGCACCTAAATGCCCATTTCGCAGCAGATGGAAAAACTGGGTAGGGAGTGATAGAATGTTATAGACAGAAGCGTCTGCCTGTCGTGCGTATTGTGTTTCTTCGTTCCGAGACGGACTTAATGTTGCCGGAGGACGGCTGCATCAGCCCCTAAAGGCGTCTATCTTTCTGACCAGCGATGTGT